GTGTTTGTGTCAGTTATAGCATAAGAATCTCAAAAAGTGGGCCAGATCTGATTGGTCCGTCTCACATAAACAGAGTATTAATGTGATACAAATGAATGTGTGTGCTCAAAGTACCTATCATTTCCATGACTTTAATTATGGAAATGTCTAGAAACAGGGAAGAGGAATGTGAGCTTTGCCTGTCAGTTTTGTGAAAGCATTTTAGGTTTTTTTTCTGTTCAAGTAGCCTTGTTTCTTTAAGCAGTCAGGTGAATGAATAATTAGAGATGAAAACCTGCTAGAATCTTCTATTTATGTGTGCACTCTGTGCTTATGTGCTCATATTTTGTATTAGTGTAGTGTTCTATTATATACAACTTTTAAACAGAAATGGATATTGGCATAATAGCCCAGGAATGATCACAAATGAAGGAACCTGGATGTCCAGATGATGTCTAGAGAGAGTATGCTTCCCAAACCAGGGTATGCTATATAGTTCTTGAGGCTAGATTTTAAAATGCAGAAAAACAGTTATTTCTTGAGATGGTGTTTCAAACATTTGTGTCTTGTCTACTGCATCCCTAAAATAGGTTTGTAACAAATTCAGTAGTTGTTTTTAGAAGGCAAGTTGTTTTTTTCAGGGCCAAGAAGAACCTTGTGCAAGCTTGTATTTTAATAATAAGAAAGGTTGGAGGTAGAAACATCAGTTGGCTGAAAAATTGTATGTTTTAGTTTTGGGGTTTTATGCTGTCAGTTGATTTTGAACATACTTAAGCATCTCTAGTTCAAAATTCTGACGATACTGCTTCTGAAATTATACTGAATAAACACATTCTTGTTGCTAACCCTTTATGCACATAAGTGTTTCCAGCTGAACTCAGAATTCTGTTTTTCTTTCTCTTAGTCTTTGCATCATTGGTGAATTGTGGTATAGAGACAACCTGCAACTTCATTATTTTACAACTGCTTATTTTTTTTCAGTGCAGTGTTTTCTTTATAAGGAGAGACTCTTTCTTTATTATATTAACCATATAATAAAAAAATTCATTTGCCTCAATCCCATATAGTAAAAAAATTCATTTATCTCAATCAACTTGGTTGATTTAAGGTTGCAACTACTCTCTCAGCATGCAAGTGTGGAGGATAGGGTCTCAGTGCAAGACACTTCCCTCATGCCAGGTTCTCAGTAAAAGATACTTAAGATTCACTTTTGATAACTGTCCCAAAACTGTTTATATAAAGAGAACTGTTTCTTAGTTTCAGAATTCTGTGGTGGTGTAGTTTCTTGAAAATGTTGAAATGGTATGTCTGAAGCATATTTCTTGGGCTTTCCATCTTTCCTCATGTGTTTTAATACGTCATGCTTGTCCTGGCATACTAAGAATATAAAAATCATCTTGAAAGAGTAAATATTTCTATTTTATTCTCCTTAAGTATTGTTGAGTTTTGTTTCTTTACACTGTAATTTAAAATAGTAGGTTTTGATTAAATGTTACAACTGGTAACTTCTAATGAAAGCCTTAATAATTTTTCATAATCTAATACTAGAATACTGTATTTCATGCATTTAAAAGTAAAATGTAATGAACTGTTTTGGAAACTAGATCATTGCCTTAGAGTGATTGTGAGTCTGCCTGTTTAAATAGCATTTCAGACAGAGTAGACTGTCACAGTCCATAGTGGATAATGAAATGATACACAGACCACTCTTTAGTGCAGGAAGCCTCACTTCTATATGAAAGACTACGCTGTGTTGATACTGTATTTTATCCAGTTATCCCAGAATGATGCTGCTCATTTTCTTTATGTTCTACTTGGACATACGCTTTAAGAGAATAGAAGGTGAGGTGTTGAAAAATAACTTGAATCCTGAAGTTACTTTGGCATGTCATCTGGTTTGAGCTAGGCAGAAATAAAAGCTATTTAAAATCTGCTCCCCTGCAAATGTTTTAGGAATGTAAGTGGTTTACTTTATGGCATCACATCAGAACCATTATACTTTCCCCATTTTTTACATCTCAATTCTAAATGACTCCTTTAAGAAAAAAAACTCCAGCCCAACTAAACAAAACATACACAACCCCTTACCCCTTATGCTGGTTTTACTTCTTGTTATAAATAAAGATGTTGTATCCTTAGAAAGGTGTCATAACTCCCACTTAGATCATAATGTGCTAAAGTGCAGTGCATGTTTGCTGTGATCAACAACAGTGAGAAAGAAAATGGCTATAAAAAGGAAAATGTGAAGTGTTTAATTGGAATGTGCACTCTTTTTTGAAGTGGTTAATGTTTTGAGTTCTTCAGCCAAGAAGTTCATATACTGCTTTCTGACCATTTTGTCTCTGCCCTCATTTATTGAATTAATTCTTTAATTAGTGTTCTTTGGGATGTCTTCCAGTTGTGGAACTTGTACTAAGATTTCCTTTTACAGAACTTGTGACTAAATATTAGCTGTTGCTGAATGAGACACTAACTTTTGTGTGCCTTTTGCAAGTAAATGTTGATGGGCTCATAGGAAATGCAGCTGACGTTAGGAAGCTTGGGTGGGGACTACAAGGAGCTGGCAAGTACTACAGGGTTCAGTGCCAGACATGCTGACACAACAGTACTTCACTTGTAAAATTTTTCTTTAGGCTGCTAATTCTGTCTTCAGAGTAACTGGAACCAAAGCAGTGTCTCTGATGCCAAGTTAAAATAGCTAAAGTAACACTTTATAGGAAATTGTGAATGCTTTCCATGGCTTAGATCCTCAGAAATATTAGTAAAAAGAGCAAGATTCTCTCTTAATGAAAGGGTGTGTTATGAACAGTGCCATGTAATGAATGCACTGCAAAACAAATCCATCTAACTAGAGTGAGTGTTAGAAACAGCTCAAAGAGGGAAAGGCTAGCATTGTAAAGTCCCTGTAAATACTGTGCTCTGAGTGATTTATATTGCAGTTTCAATTTATTTGATTTGCTATTTCATAGTCATATTTCATAAGGCACCATTTTAATAGCTTCCTTTAGCTTTCAAATAAAAATTGTTTTCTTCAAATGTATCTAGACATTGAGAAATGCTATGTGAGCCCTTCTACAGCAGTTTGAGTGTGTCACCTTAAGTATAATGTGTTTTGTCTTGAGTATATTTTATTTCTGGTCCATGTTAGAGCCTAAGAAGTAGTAAGGCAAAGCTTTGAAGGGGGATAAAAGTGGAATACAGCTTAGGTTTGCTTTGCAGAAGTTCAGGCAGAGTATGAGTTGCTGCTACCCTGCTGTCTCCAGTTTTGTATGTGGGAGGACTTGCAGGAGGCATCATGGAGAGGAATCTTGCTGGGGAACGCATGCCTGGCTTACAGAATATAAAAACTGCTACAGTCTTGGTGGAAGGATGCAGCAATATTACATAAGCATATTGGTTTTTATTTAATTTCATCATCACCCTTAGATTTTAGGAAGTGCTTCCTTTAATTCCTTAAGAGTGCAGAACTCAAAGCAAGTGGTGGAAGAAAGGAGATTCAGATGATGAATTTAATCTGTTCTGTGTTTTTGCAGTGCGGTGTTATTGCCTCTTTTAAGGTAGGCGCATGCATTCTGGTGTCCCACAAAAGTAGAAGTTCAGGTAGTAGACTGAAGCAGCTTTGCTAGAGCAACTGCATGGCAGTATCTTGCATCCATGGGAGACGTTGGCCTCTGCTGACCTCAGAATTACAGATCACCTCTGAAGTCTCCTCTGACCTATTTTATCAAGTTAAAATGTAATAAAAGCAATGTATAATAAGAAGAAAAGACTGTTTTTAAAATCTCAGAAGGTTTTTTTTTGCACGAAAACGGTCATGTAAAAGAAAAAGTGGATTGAGCAGTTCTTTCTCTGAGATCACCTTAATCATTTTTCATAACATCCCTTATCAGTTTGGCTGTGCAATGTTGGACATTGATGTCTATCAGACTAAGATTTGGCTTTTCTTGAAGAGAAGCACTTAGTTCATTTTTAAATCTACAAAATGTAAACTGGTGCTTTCTGAAAGCTATGTAGCAGGTAACTATGTAGCCCATGACTTGACCAAATCAAGCTGTTCAACTGAGCATTGATTTTTTTGTGTAGCTCTTGTGGGGGATCTGTTCTCATATGTTTCCGGGCATTCTGTAGCACATCTCTGAAATTTCCCTTCTGTACTGTCTGATTTCTTCCAAATTATTACCTGGATTTTTGTCCCCCCAAGTATGTGAATTCTCTTCCTGAACTAGATCCTGTCTTTGCCAGTATGAGTGTACACATAAAGGTACGTGTGTCTTAGCTCCATAAAAGAGGCCGGAGGACATGTCTGGAAAAGAGATTTAAACAAAAGGTTATTTTTCACTGAGATAATAACAGATAAACTTTGGAGAACATTGTCTTTATCTTGGTCACAAATTTGTTGAATGAAGGAGGATCTGAGAGATGCTATGGTGACTCTTTGCTTCCAGAGAGAAGTTCCTTTGTTGAATAAAAATTGTGCAGTATCACTGAAGTGATCTGGTCAGTGTCCAAGATTTGAACTGTCTCAGGGGATGTACTGCTGACATTCTCTATGGCCTGTTTAGGCATTTCTGTTTACAGATCTGTAGTGATCTATTTGCAGTACAATGAGGCTGCACTTCCTGTGGTTGAATGGTATTGCTTAATTGTGGTCAGCTGAATTCCTTGGACAGGAGTTGAATTTTTCTAATGCAGTGTCAACGGATTTTGCCAACAATAGCTGGCAATGAAGGCACATGCAAGGCTAGCATGCATTTATGATGGTATATTACATATTGCGAACTCTGTTCTTAATCATTTTCTGCATCATCTGACAAAAGTGAGCTGCAAAAATGGCTTTGCAATTATGTATTACAACTTCCATATGGGTCTTTACTCGTAAGCAGGAATTTTTATGAAGTTTATGGATGGACATTTGCTTTGATTTATGAACAGTTTCAGAAACGTAGTAGCTGACACCAGTGTTCTTAGACACTGACAAGAAAGTTTGAGTATCAAACTTTTTTCTTTTTTTTTTTTTCCAGATGGAGCAATTGTCAGATGAAGAGCTTGACCATGGTGCAGAAGAAGATAGTGATAAGGAAGATCAGGATCTCGACAAGATGTTTGGGGCCTGGCTGGGTGAACTGGACAAACTCACACAGGTGAGGGAGGTTTCACTCATCTCACGGAATAATTGTTTGTTGGTATTACGTTTCTTTTCAATTGAATACCAACTGCTTGACTCTGCCACTTGCAGCACGGCAGACAGTAGCCTGTGACCAGTTCAGTAATCTTTAAAGGTTTATAAATTGCTTGTTTACCCCATCCTGAGATTGTTACATTCATTTTGCACAACCTGCTGGTTTGACCTATCACAAAGGGTATAACAGTTCCTTCCGAGAATAATAGAATTGCTGTTTTGTCCTTACGTATGTAGAGCAACATGGACTTCAGCTGACAAGAGAGAGGCTGTCTCCAAACATGTGGATTGACATTGTTCAGCTGTGACAGCATTTATCTGTTGCACCTAAACAGCAATAAGAAAAAATTGTGAATGCTGCCAGTGATGATGTAATGAGATACCCTGATACACCCTCAAGGACTCACCATTGTTCCAGAGCACTCTTCCTGCATCAGTAAAGCAGCTGATAGGACATCTTTCGGTCCTTCCTTCTTTCTAGTGCTTTTCCTTTGCTTCACAAGCAGATACTGCATTTTGCATGATGTGCTGCACTCCTGGGGTATAATCAGCCATTTCTCTGTGACTGCCTGCAGCGAGTGTTTGAGCTGTGTGAACTGGCTCTTCTGAATAACATATTTAATCTTCTCCCTGTTTGTCGTGTAGAATTAAGCAGAGGTATGATAAGTGAAGGTTCATTAAGCTAGAGAAGAGGCAGTTTTTCTCATCTTCATCTTATCTGAAGACTGAAGGAAAATTGAGCTAATCATGTAACGGGATTTCAGATTCAGGCTCATCTCTGTTACTGTCTCTGCCATTCAAGTTCTAAATGTATATTATATCTATTAGGGAAAACTTTTTTTTTCTGAGCTCACTTATGCGGGGCAATAAAGAATCCTGCCTTCTGAGATGTGTGGAAGAGTGTGACATTAATCTGTATATACTAATTCTTGCTGGTTTTTCACTTACTTTGAAGGGTTTTTAATGGTGTGAACCATTTTTGTAGGCATGGGCTTTGTAAATCACCTTGAGTGAGGATATTCACAGAGGAGCACAATGGATCTTAGACCCATTAAGCACTGCTTAATTTCAGATGTTCTGCAGACCTGTTGAGCTTCAGTGACAGCAAGATTCCCCTTGTAACACATTCCACTCCAGGGGCAGAAGCTTCTGGCCCTGTCATGTACTTCTTGGGTCAGCACCTGGATCACAGTTGCCCTACTTATAAAAATCCTTGTATTTATTATAGCCATCATGTTAGCCATCATAACAATTCAATGGGTCTTAGATCCATTGTTTGCTGACCCATTTTTTTAAAGGTATGAACAGCCTAGAAATATAAGTGTATTTGTGGCTTATGCTTTACTTGAGGCTTAGCTACACTATTGGCATGCAGATTTCAGGGTGATGTCTCAGTTTGTTGTTGGTCCCTCCAAATTTCTTAAAATCTACTAAGAGGTACTTGATTGTAGTATCCACATTATTTGTTTCTTACCTTCATATTGCCGTTCAAGACAATCTGCAGCATAGCCTGACAGTTGCCCTTCTATCTTTCACAACTACTGAGAAATGACATTTCCCCCAAAACTTCGAATGACTTCATATTGTTCTGCATAAACAACTTGACGGAGTTGATTGTGTCTCAGGTCATTTATCTGGACAGTCATCAAATCTTAATGGGGCTGTTCCAATGAAGTCCCAATAAAGGGAGATGGTTAGCATTAGTGAGATCCAAAGCTCATTATCCTGTAGTTTCAGTATTTGTTGCTATCTATCAGCTGGACTTCAAGAGCACTAGGAGGAAAGGTTTTTGTCCCTGATATCCTTGATCTTTAACTTCTTTTTAGATTTCCTAGATGTTTATTTTTAGGAGATTTAAAATAAGACCCAGGTGTAACTGCTTTTTAAAAGATCTGAAATCATTTGAATGCCCATGGGAATCATTTGAATTCACTTTCCCTCTTTAACTCTTGGTCTAACAAAAGTCACAAAATCTGCAGCGTGTGTGAGCAATATCTGGCGTTGATGAAGGGTGTCTTACCATTTATTCTGCTTAAGTTACTCTGCTTCATGATGCAGGTTAAATGAACAAAAATTTACGTTGCTTCTCGTGATTATTTAGAATTAAGCTTTTGGTGCTGTTACAGTTTTTAGCAGTTCTCCAAACTGCTGGTTTAGCAGTTATGGAGAATGTGCTCAGATAATGGTGAGGGCATATCACATGTGTGTCAAATGATCTGCAATAACTTTAATAAAGCCAGCAAAACATGGTTGGGGTGCTTTTAACCAGAATATATTTGTTTCACAGGAAATATTTTGTAGCAGTCAGTGAGTTCGGTCTGAAGGAACGGGGCCTAACTTGCCTCTTCTGTCTCCAGTTTCCCTGATGTCTCTAGGGTTATAGATTTTTTTTTTTTTTTTAAGTTCAGGCCAAGCTGGGGAGAGAAGAGAGCTCAGGAAGAATAAACATCAGGGGAAAAACTAGTGCATTTGGTCTTTTTAACAAAGGCTTGAGTGAAGATATAGAAAATTAACATAAAAAGTTTAGGTGAGAAACTTTATTCTGTTGAAACTAGAAAACACTTTTCCTTCAGGCAAGCCTATCTTCAGGAACTCTTTTATCAGTACAAGCCTTGCCTAATTTCAGATGTTCTGCAGGCCTGTTGAGCTGACATTGTGACAGCAAGAGCTGGATTCCCTATGTAACACATTCCACTCTAGGGCCAGCAGCTCCTGACTGTACTTCTTGGGTCAGCAGCTGGATCACACTGCTCTACTGCTTGCTACTTACAAAATCCTGGTATTTATTATAGCACTATACCCATATTAGCCATCATAACATAACAAGTCAGTGTATTGGTTAGAAAGAGTTTCTTTTTTTAACCTATGATAGTTTTCCTAAAAAAAAATGTGTCCTACATAAACTGGCTAAGGTTGGTTTTCATAACTTAATGTTATTCACAGGAAAGACTATTGAAAAAAATTCTAAATTTAGTGAATTTAAGTCCCTATTAATAAAATAGGATTCTTCATTGAATGTTTTTAAGCACTTACACCATGATTATGCTCATAATCTAATGGTGGATATCTTAGACCATATTTTATACTCTTATCCCAGTTTGAATGTTGTGCAGTTTCATGCAGAGAGATAGTTACAGGTAAGTCAGCTGTCTGTTTCAAAATGAGCTAGTGTCTAACACCATTCAAAAAAGCATTTGGAAAATGCTTCTATCCTTTTGATTCTGAAACAAAGCAGAATTTGTTTAACAACTTTTCTTCACAGCATATCTTAAGTTAAATCTCTGTAGTATGACGATGTTTGTTTTCAGTCTAAAACCTGAAAAACGGGTGCTTTTATATATACCAGTAACTTATGAAAAATTTCTCTTTGAGAAAATTAATTCTCATTCATCTTAAGGAATTGGACAAGCAAATCTTTGTCAAATTTTGTTTTGCCCTTTTTTTGATCTTTTTCAGAGTTTGGATGCAGACAAGCCTGTGGCACCAGTGAAGAGGTCACCCCTCCGCCAGGAAACCAATCTTGCCAACTTCTCATATCGCTTCTCCATGTACAATTTGAATGGTTTGTCAAATGATTTACCACATATAGTTTAAGAAAAGTACTAGTTTAAGAAAAAAAAAAACTACTCCAACTACATATTAAAATATTCTAAAATGTAAGAACATTTGAATACACTTATAGCTGAGGTGAGAACATATTTGCTGAAGGCATTGCTTTCTGATGTCCTTTTTTTTCAAATATTTGAGTCTTCTAAAGCATTATCTTTTACAACACTTAGTATTTAAGAACTGTAGTGTAGTATTTGTATAAAAAAGCTTGTTCTGGGATCTGGTCTCATGAAGGAGTGACTTAATGTGTATCTGTTAACCAGGAAGAAAGAGCATCTTGCTTTACGTAACAGAATGCAGGAATATAGCTACAGAACACTTTCAGGATAAACAGAAGGAAACCTTAATTTAAAGGTCTGAGTATGTATATAGTGTTTTTGGTTTGGTTTTGTTTTTTTTAAAGCTGTTGCATTACTTTAGCAGAAAATGCATTGCAAAACATCTGCACTTTTTTGAAAAGTGAGGCATGATATTACGCAAATGCATTTTTACATTCCATTCACAGGAAAGCAGTTTAAACTTTTCATATGTAGTCTGAACATTCATAGACTTCTTTTGCTGACAAATGAGTTTAACCTAAATAGTGTGAAAGTTGCACTGGTCAAGGATAGTAGTGCAAATGAATTTCAGTTCAGCAGTGCGCAGATATTTTGCACTACAGATGGGAAAAGAAAGTGCTGCTTCCTTTGCTCTCTTAACTATTAGATTTGATAACAAAGTGAGGCATTGCAAATGAAATAACTGCACATACTGACTATTCTTGTTTGTTGCAGAAGCCCTGAATCAGGGGGAAACTGTGGATCTGGATGCTCTCATGGCTGATCTCTGTTCCATAGAGCAGGAGCTCAGCAGCATTGGCTCTCATTCCGCAAACAATGCTGCAGTGAAACGCCTTACCACAGAACCCAAAACTCAGAAACCACCTGCTAGTCGACCTTCCACTAAGCACAGCAGCATGAAAGGATTGTCCTCCTCTGCTAAGCTGACTAAACCATCGCATGCCAACGTGTCTCTGGATGACATCACTGCACAGTTAGAGAAGGCCTCCTTGAGCATGGATGAAGCAGCCCAGCAGTCTGTTGCGGAAGACACCAAGCCAGTGGTTACTGCCCAGCACAGGAGGACAGCATCTGCTGGCACAGTGAGCGATGCTGACGTGCGCTCTATCAGTAACTCCTCCCGTTCCAGCGTGACCTCGGCAGCTTCCAGCATGGACTCCCTGGATATCGATAAGGTGACAAGACCTCAGGAGCTGGACTTGACCTCACAAGGGCAACCGATCACCGAGGTAGGATGTCACTAATTCAAGATTTTTGTTTGGTTTGGGTCTTTCTCTTCAAACTTACACCTCATTCCCTATGCTGACACTCATAGCTAAACATCTGCAGTGCAGTGGGGTTGATTGAACTGCCCATGTTGTAGCTGCTTCTTTCTATGGTTTTGGTTCTGTCTGCAAGGAAACTTCTCATAAAGAATGTGTTTAGGTTTTGGTTTTTTTAGGACCTTTCCCCATCTCTTCCTCCTCTAAAGCCCATCGTGCATTTTAATGTTTTTATAGTTAATATTTTTATTCCAAGTAAATATCACATATTGCCTTTAATTTAAACCTGAGGAGTGCACAGCTGTGGAAAAAAGAAAGCACAATTGACAAAAATCTATTCCTCTTAGAGTACAGTTAATACCTGAAACACACGGAGCAATCTACAGGTGTCTATCTGGAGCTATACTATACCAGTAATTTGCTGCTACTTAATACTCCTGTTAAATGTATGACAGGAGGAGCTCTTTGAAGCAATACACACTACAGAAAAATTCCTGGGCTGCAATACAACATTCACAGATACTAATTTGGGATTTTGATGCTTTGACAGTGATTAATTGGAGAGGAAACTTCAATAAGAACAGCCAGTTTGGTGAACATTGCAAGTGCTGCTGACTTGAGAGAAAATGTGGAAGATGTTCCAGTGAATTTTGAGAACTTAAACTTAGAAGTTCTCTTGTAGAAATACTTTCTGAAACAGAAATCTGACCTGTTAAAATGTCAGTTGTACTAATATGCATGTTCTCTTTCATGAGAGAAAACTGGAACAAACTGAGTTTATTCTAATCAATAATTAAAACAAATCTGAATGTGCTGTACTGAAAGCATGGTTCTACACATCTGCCACAGAAGTTCATCTGATGTAAAGTGAACAGTGCAGGCTTGTGAGTCTTATGATCAACTCATTGTGGTCACACTTCGATTTAAATCTTCATTTGAAATGGTGAGAAATGAATGACAGTTTAGGTGAACTTTCTTTTCGTATAAAAAGTTTGCGTTCAGTATGCCTTTATTGGAGATTTCCTGTTGAGTGAAGTAAAACAGATAGAAATGTGCCCTTTGCTCTTTGGAAAGTTAAAATGCAAACCTTTGCATTATTGCTGTAGGCCTAAGTGTTCAAGCCCAGCCTATGACAGTCATTGATTATATTGTTGTTTGTTTGAGAATAATTTTCTTTTTATGGCATGATAAAGCTTATTTTTGATTTGTTGTTTTTGGGTGGGTTTCTTTTGTTTTGGGTTGGTTTTTGTTGTTTTTTTTTTTTCATCCCCAGCTGTTATTTGTGATTATATGTCTGTCTTTATGATGTGGAAAGTTAGTCTTGCATTTTTGTCTTTTCTCAGGCTGAAAAGATTACTTTTATAAATTAGTTGCTCTAGCTTGCATAGCATAAGAAAAGCATGAATGTTGCATTTTTTGATTTTTAATGCAAGGTGTTTCCTGCAGTTGATCTTGCAGGTCTCCCTCTACATTTTCTGTTTTACTTTGGGAGTTATATGCTTGAGGCATCAGTAAAATTGCCCTTCTTGTCTCCCAGTTTTTTTCAATCCTTTGTGTCATGAGTAGTCAACAAACCACCTGCCGCCCTTAATTACCTTGATGTTGGTGAATCAAGGGACAGAGGTCAAGAAGTTGCTTTGTCTTCACAGGAAGCTAATCTGTATTGCTGCAAGTGTTGCAGTTGCTGTTTCAGTTGCTTTCTGAGCTCTTGGCCACTGACTGCAAGGCTCAAATTCATGCCCAAAAGCTTTTCTCAAAGACATGTGAGGGCTGCCTTTGTACAAACGCAGTGATTGCTTCTCATATGAGAATGTGGCTATTGTTTCTCTGCCCAGATAAGTTGATAAGAATGATTGATTCCTTTGAAGGAGGTAACCAGAAAGTGTCAGTAATTTGAAATCCAGATTCTGCTCTCGTCTTGAGAGCAGAAACCTCTGCACTCATTAACCATGCTGCTTGCTTTGGCTCCATTCCTTTTAATTTCAGTAGCCTGAGGAAAGTATTCAATTCTTAGAAATTGTCCCTAGGTTTACAGAATTGGTATTCAACTATTCAGTATTAAAATTGTTATGTGACGGGATGGGAATTCTTACAGAGAAGTTTCTTTTCTCATCACTGGTGAACAGGGAAAGGAAAATTACTTTTTTTTTTTTTAGTTTGTGACAGATTTTGTGGTAGTGTTTTTTAAATGAATTTATCTTTTAAATGGATTCTTTGGAAGAATCGTTGGGTATCAACAACGCTGTTTATTTCCTCTGTCATTCATTTATGCCCAAAAACTAGTTTAAGGGTTTGTTAATCCTCTTGGCTAGGTTGTGAACCAAAACACCTTGTACTAGTAGGGCTGAATTGTACCCTCCCACCCACACAGTTGACTCAATGGTGCTGTTTCTAATAGAAAACATCCCTCTGAGGAAATAGGCTTTGAAGAAGTTCTAATGTCCATATAGGGAAAAACTCAACAGTTTTTATGCAGAAAGTGGGAGAGGCTATTTATTCATGGTCACAGCAGATCTGTTTTGAGATTTGTTATTCTGAAGTAGTGCTTCAAGTTAGCTCTTTTCTTTTGCCTGTCGTCCTTGAGACTGCCTGTAGGTGAGCTGACCTTTAAAATTTTTCTTTCCTGCTGTGGCTCTTCTAAAAGAGGTCAGTGTCTTGGCAGCTCTACCCTTTTGACCTGACCAAAACTTTGTTTTCTCCAGGCAGTATAGGTACTTTAAAAAGTCATCCTTTCTGCTGCAACTTCATGCTATGCTCTTCCTGAGTAAAATGGAAGAAAGTTTTGATGGAAGGAAATGCTTGTCTGAAAAAGGAAATTAGGCTTTGCAGTTATAAACTTCAGTATTCTATCTTAAGAAATACTTCTGCTGTGTATTTAAGAGCTCTCTGACTTGGCAGTGCAGGAAAATCCTGTAAAAGAGCAGTCGTGTACTGGCCCACTGAAGGTGTGTGTAGTCTAGTATACTCTCTGGCTGGTAATAGGGACTAATATTATGGAAGAAGGCTGTAATTCCACAGCCACCAGAAATGGGAGGGATATGACTTCCCTTTCCTCTCATCCTTCCTTCTTCACAGTTCTTTCCTTACACTCTCATGTCCTCCCTTGTCCCAGCTTTGGCACTTAACTGGTACTTAGTACCCCAGATTTTTGTGCTTCTATTCTGGGTCTCATTCTGTGTTATTTAGGTGAACTGCAGAGACTCAGAGGACTGGTGCACATTATGGGGGCTGTAGCCAGGGACTGGAGGCTGGAAGGGAGAGCAGGAACTCACTTGTTGGTGGTAATTGATTATTCAGAGCTTCTCGCCTGAGTATTTGGACAGGGGTCTTAGTGTCTTGTCTTCCTCTTCCTCCTAGCAGCCTGTGCTGTAGGCAATTCCTGGGGTTGCAGATCTGTCAGCATGATGACAAGTGATAACTCTCAGTGGTCATATTGGCCAGGACCATCCTTGTACTCATTCTGAATTAGAATTGAATTGAATTTTAGATCACTTTCAGGGAAGTTGACTGGAGTTCCCTTGGTTGTCTAAAATTGTGGGTTTATTACTTGTCATGATGGTTTATTTTCTTCCTTTCCTCCTTTCCTTTCTTAGCACTATCTCGTTAGACATTGTGAATATTGATATTTTCAAAGACTATCACTTTGTAGCCTTAAGACCTTGTCTTGGTGGTACGAAGTGTTTTCTGACTGCACTTCTTGTCTTCAGTCTCCCCTTAAGTATTGCTGAATAAAAAGAAAAGTTGACTACACCCCACCCTAACCCCATAATTTTTTGCTAAATTGAAATTTGTCTTTGACAAAATGACTTCACAGATCCTTGCTTGAACAGTATTTTTTCTTAAATTGGTAGGTTGCATTTTGTTTTCTATGCTTTTAGTTGTGTAATGAGTGGCGGGCACCTTAAAATGTTGTTTCTGTGGGGGGTTACTTTACTTGTATGTAGACCAAATTAGTGAAGTAATAGCATGAATTAGGGGATAATAGCATTGAAGTTAGGGGAAATTATGTCACTGTGACTAACTTGTTGCCTCCACCCACATTATCTTTCTTCCTTTGGTCCCTCTGTCAGCAAGAAGTTGTCTCTGTTTTCAGTGAGCTGTGCTAGAGTAGAAGGAGAAGAAAGCAGAGGGGAGAGAATAGTGAACTGTGTTGATGATGCTTATGTAGCTGTGTGTGTCTGGCAAGTGAAAGGCTCCATTCATGGGCAGTCATTGTTACTGTCCTGCACACACTCGGTGAAGAGGTTGCAGATAAGTTTGAAGTCTGCCATCTGGTCTGGCACAGTTCAGCATCACCCCCCACCCCTCTTTATGTCTGTAACCCAGTTTGCACAGCTGAGAGATTCTGCTCATACAAAGATAATGCAAAATTTAGCTGGTAGCACTACATGATTTAATTGCATTTTTTTTTTTAGCTTTTACTTAAACTCATTGTAGATTTATACTTGATGCATGAGGGGTAAAAATCATGAGAAGAAGAGAGTGGCCAGTACAATAAAGCCACATGGTTTTTGCTTCACTTGATAGAGAAGGCAGTGTGGAGTAAATATTAATGTTTCTTTCAGGGTAAAAAAGGGAGCTTTGGAAGCATGACAGTTAGTAGCAATTGTCATGTAAGCTCAGCACACAAATAAATCTGTACTGGCTAAGAGATCCTGTGGGATAAAATGAAAAACTTGAAATGGACATAAGGGAATAATAAAGTTTGTGTTTCATAGCAATTTTGCTATAGATCTTACATGGACATGCTAGCATTTCATTTGCCTATGCAGGGGTGTAGCACTGAAACTTTGGTACCCATTTAAAATTATTGAGGGTCATGTTTTATGTGGGATTGCTAAATGTTGCTATGTATGAAAAGGCAGTTAATTGTTAATGTATGCAGACAAATAAACTGATGATATATATGGTCTTTGTTAGGCAACGGTGTCTTAAAATAGAGCTGGACTGCTGAATCTCATCTGTTA